GTTATTCGTAACCAATCCTATAGAGTTTTAACAGAAAAAGAAACAGAGATATCACATGGATTAAAATACATTTCATTCCAACCAATTGATGTGCCAAAAACATTAGCAGCAGTTGAAACTTCTATGCAACATCTAAATAAGACTGCAAAAAAATTAATTTACGCAATATATGCATATTATGATGCACTAGCGCGCCATCTGTTATCAAAATTCGAAACTATTATAGACGCGTATGATTCTTTTTTAAAATAAACAATTTCTACTGCCCTTACTGAAATGGAAAAATTACAGCGGTATGGTAGATTAAACTGGCGAAACTGCTGGGAGGGTTCACCACTGATGAGCTAGGCCTTCCCATAAATTTTTCCACTGCAGTAAGGGCAGTAGAAATTGTTTAATTTAAAAAAGAATCATACGTGTCTATAATAGTTTCGAATTTTAATACACCTATCCCCCGATTTACACGGTAGATACGTTCCTGAGAAAAACGTGTGTATCGAAAATTATTATTATTATTTTTTTAATTAGAAATACAGACACAGTGTGCGTGTGCAGCAAGTCAGCACATAAGCTCGGGATTCCTCGTGAGATGTGTACACAGCGCATGTGTTCAAACACAGTAGCATTTAGTATAGTGCGATAAAAACAAAAAACAAAAACTTATTTGGAAAACCGTGTAAAAGCGAAAACGTGTAAAACAAGTACCGTGTAAATCGGGGGATAGGTGTATATGCATTTGTTTGCTGCTACTCTGAAACTACTGATCTCTCTATGTTTCAAACATCAAACATGAATTTACCTCAACAACAACCCTGACTGGCCATGGTTACATCCGGTCAGACTTTACAAAGGTATTGAAAGAAGACCCAACTTGTCCCCATTACCAAGATGAAGACCAAACCTATCTGTCCAGCGATTTCCCCGCTCCGGATCAAACGGTGTATTGTCATGAACTGGGATTGAATCCCACGTTAACATTTTGTTTAATATATGAATAACCTTCACATATTATTCATTGTTGCAATTATCATAAACTAGGTTGTTCTTTTTGAGCGGTACCTTTTAAAGTGATTTTGGAATAAGAACTCATCCCCAGGAGACAACATGAAAAAGTATCAAGCTCTACAAGTTTGATTCATACACCCGACCTGCAGGGCTACTGACTCTTCGGTCAAGGGCTGGATGACAACGCCGTGTCTGCCAATTCATCAATTCACAGGTTCTTTCTGAGCCTTGAGATGAGGGGAGAACTTACTGTCTGGACTCTGTCGTTGTCTCCTGGACTTTACTGTATATAGTTTACTCTTTTGTTTATTCCTCTTTTAGGAGCGGTTGCACATGGCGTCTGTTCCTCATGTCAGAGGCGGCCTTTTTTTTTTTAGCTAAGTCGGCCTGCCACTGAGTAGTGCTTCCAGTCTTAATGACAAAGGCAGACGCATTCTACTTCACCAATGTGTGATGATAAGAAAGAAGAAGATTCCTCTTTTTATAATTATTTTATAATACAGTGGACCCTCGGTTTGCGAGCATAATCCGTTCCAGAGCCATGCTCGTACTCCAAAACGCTCGTAGTGCGAAACTAATTTCTTATTTTTAATAATTGAAACTCGGGCAATTCTTCTTGCTACGAACAATTGCACAGTTTCCCACATTTTACATATTTCCCGAATCTGATCTGAAGGGAGGGATCCCAGTGAATTTTCATCCATCACGATTACGGGCAACCATCACGAGTTGCTCGTAATGCGAAATTTCACTCGTAATCCGAGGTAAAAATTTTCAAAAAAATTTGCTCGTACTGCGAAAAGCTCGTACTCCAAGGTGCTCGTAAACCGAGGGTCCACTGTACTACCATTGACTTGTGTATGTTGTCATTAAAATATTTTTAAATCTCAAGCTCTACAAGTTTGATACCTTGATTGAGTGGAGATAAAAAAGAAGAGAGCTGTTTGGTTCTGTCAATATGGGAGGTAGGAAGTTTCCATGCTTATCTCCCCCTTCATTTTCCCCACCCATACGCTCGTTTCTGATTGGTTCACGAGAAAGGTAAACAAGGATAGAGGCCCCCGTTATCTCCCAAAGTTTTACCTGGAATATATCGTTACAAATATCATCTTTATATCAATTTCGATTAAAAACGCATATATTGGATCAATATATATAATTTATTTACTAATATTTATAAATTTAATTGTCATTTATCGATAAAATCGGCAACAATTAATTTTTGATGCAATGTGTTTCTTTTCACCACTACATATTTCAATGGTAAAAGTTATTGAATGAGAGAATTCACCACTAATGAGCTAAGCTCTCTCATTCAATAACTTATAATTGTAGTAAGGTCTGTAGAGACAAAAAGAAACATGTTGCCAAAAAATAATTGTTGCAGATATATCTTCTATCTCCACTCAATCATATCAGGGTATTATTACAGAGCAGGAGGGACAAGTTCTGTCCTCCCAAGAAAACAACAGGCTTTGATTTCCAGACTTGGTCATCTACGGACAATGACTTTCCAGAATGGTTGCAGGGTTTTCCCACTATGTACTAAGTGCAATTCTCAACCTGCAACCCCAAAACATATTATTGACTGTATTGACTCATCCATTGATGAGCTCTACTCTTCCCCGGCAGACACCATCAACAAGATCTACAAGCTTTACAAGCTTGATACCTTAATGTGATTGAGTGGAGATAAAAAGAAGAAGAGGGTATTATTTATTCCCCCGGGGGTCGGTGGAAGGATGGTCTAAACCGTTGGTTTTCGACCGCTACGACCCGGGTTCGATTACCGCATTGGGCACATTTTTCTGATAAAAAAAAAATGCTCCAATGGACCCCGACTCTAGCAAAAGTCCAACCCCACCAGCGAGTGCAAGTAACCAAATGAGGCTCTGACATATTTGTAAGTGCAAAGTCGTACTGCTTTTCACATGTGCAGACATGTGGTGCACTTACAGTAAAAAGTAGTCGCCTACTTCTACCCACCATGATTATCATGGCCTGTACCACGTGTACTAGGGATAAGCAACAACAACAAAAAAGGGTATTATAAGGCGATAAAGTGCCATCTATAAACAAGGAAACATAAAAGTACGAATGTGCTTTAAATTGGCGAAACTGCTGGGAGGGTTCACCATTGATGAGCCAGCCAGGCCCTCCCAATATAGATTGTCAAGAATCCATTAGATCCCGTGTGGATCTCATGGAATAAAGTCTGCCCTAGACTGACGAGGGCCATTAGCCGAAACCATGGTCTCTACTCTAGGTGGACGCTTTTCAGTTTGTCAAAGCTGGTATTGTGGCTTTGTCATCGACCCGAGGCCGCTAGTTGCGGCGACGGTCAATAGATGGCGTCTGGTTTTAGACGTCTATTTTGATGGGAGAGGCGACCCTTGTCTCTTTAGATCAATTTCCTCTCCCGGCAAAATTTCCATCTATATATATATTTTTTTTCATCGAAGTAAAAACAGTGGAAGTTTGTTTTATATTTAAAAATAAACATTCGTGTCTTTAATGCTTCAATTTCTTATATTAGGGTATCAAGCTTGTAGAGCTTGTTGATGGTGTCTGCTGGGGATGAATAGAGCTCATCAATGGATGACCCAATAGAGTCAATAATGTGGTTTGGGGTTGAAGACAAATACCATCATTTAACTGAGCGCCAACTATTGGTGAAAATTTGAACGAATTTTTTTAACGCCATTTTCTCTCATTAAAAAAAATATATATATGGATAATATATTAAAAATTATGTGAGTAAACAAATAGTACAAAAGTGGAATTGTACTGAGGTGGATAAATTTACGAAAAAGGCTTTTCCTGATTGTGCAACTAAAAGTTGTTGATGGCTTGCACCATCTATCGGAATAAATATAAAATATCAAAAATCTTTATTAATCACACACACAAAAACCTTTATTAAGGCACACAAGTCTTACAGAGGATTCTCCTTGGGGTTACAAGACGGAGAAACCCATGAAAGTGGGAAATATACAAAAATCTTGATTAATCAAGAAAGGGTATTTGGCTAATTCTGGAATAAATAAAAAATCAACAACTATAGTTGAAATTTATTCCGATAGATGGCGTAAGCAATTAGCAACTATTAGCTGCACACGATCAGGAGATATGCATTTTTCTTAATTTCAAAAACTAGGTTTAAACCGACCTTATTACTGCAATAAATACAAATTTAAAATAAATATTATTTGTGATCTCTGCAAAGAAAATATGGAAACTGAACTATCTCATTATATCTATGAATGCCAAGATATTAGTGAGGAGAGAAGGACATTCTTTTCAATGGTAGACACCAGCCAACTTAGGTCAATCCAAATGATGTTAACCAGTGCCCAAACAAGCAGACTAGTTGCTCAGGCCCTATATAATTTTTACAAGGCAGTAGGTGTAAAGAGGGAGAAAAGAGAACTTGGAAGCTATTGTTCTTACACCTCAGAATGATGACGAAACATCGAGGGGTCGACCTTTCATATTAAATCTCACTTTTCCTTATTACTAATAATTGTATATAGTTGCGGAACTATTGGTTTCCTGTGCTGCTCTTCTCCTGATATTGCACCTTGTACGGAGAATCTGTATAAGACTAATGTCTTAATAAAGGCTTTGTGTGTGTGTGTGTGTGTGTGTGCGTGTGTGTGTGTGTGAATAAATATTAAGTTCTAATTTTCTATATAACTGGTAGTTTACCAAAAAAAGCTTTCGAGCAAGCTCTTTTTCAGTAAAACGTTACGAAATAATTATTCGGAAGCGCCGTTTACGTTAGTATTCATTATCAAAGGATGACAGATTTCTGTTTTTTACAATTTCTGTAATTTGTTGATATCAAACACACTTAAAGTTTCACCGCATAAGTTTCTTTTCTGTGAAAAATCAATATTTATTTCAAAGAGAAATATTTACTATTTCTAACTTTTTTGGATATAGTATGAAAGGGTGAAAATATGAAGAGTAATGGCGAACGGAAAAATAAAAGTGTCCAGGGGCGGGAATCGAACCCCACAACGTTCCGCTTACCGGGCAGATGCCATGTCCACTAGGCTACCCTGGACGTATTTTTCCGTTTGTTGATATCTGTAATTTTGTGATAATGAATAACCGGTAAGTATAGGGATGGTTTTTCATAGGTTTCTAACATAGTGAGTACTTCATATATATATATATATATAGGGGTTCATTTTGCAAATATTTTAGGAATGCCGTTTGTTGAGTTTCTAGGATTGATATAAGTCGGCACAAGGAAGTTTTTAATGGCTGTTGAAAGTGGATGAAATTGTGTTGAAGTTTGTAGAATTGAATTTCCTCAAATCTCTTGCAACAATTCATACAAGTAACTTATTTATGATAAAGCACAATTTGTATTATAGATTATAATAAAAGAGAGAAAATAAGACCTAATCCAAATAATTTATTAGTGTGTGACGTTTCAGCAACAACATTGTCACCATCAGATAAAAGTATGAAATGATTATTATTATTATACTTTTATCTGATGATGGTGACAATGCTGTTGCCGAAACGTCACACACTAATAAATTATTTGGATTAGGTCGTATTTTATTTTATAAGTAACTTATTAAAAAAAAAAACGATATGATTTGAGGTTAATTTGATATGTTCTATATAATAAGAAAAAAAAGGGGCATATTCTGATCGTTGATGTTGGTTTGCGTCATCTATCGGAATAATTATCAACAAAAAAGGGACCCAAGCCAACAGAAAATTTTAGTTGAACAATCAGGAGATGTATTTTTTCTTAATTTCTCCATTTGATCCAAGTACAATTTCTCTTTTTAACTATTTTGCACATGTTCTACAAGGTCCTAAAAGTTCGTAAACACTTGCAAAAAATTGAAATACCAATATTATTGGCCATAATATTATTCGCCGTTATGTATAATGTCTTTGTATTATGTATTATTATGTACAGTGGACCCTCGGTTTGCGAGCATAATCCGTTCCAGAGCCATGCTCGTACTCCAAAACGCTCGTAGTGCGAAACTAATTTCTTATTTTTAATAATTGAAACTCGGGCAATTCTTCTTGCTACGAACAATTGCACAGTTTCCCACATTTTACATATTTCCCGAATCTGATCTGAAGGGAGGGATCCCAGTGAATTTTCATCCATCACGATTACGGGCAACCATCACGAGTTGCTCGTAATGCGAAATTTCACTCGTAATCCGAGGTAAAATTTTTCAAAAAATTTTGCTCGTACTGCGAAAAGCTCGTACTCCAAGGTGCTCGTAAACCGAGGGTCCACTGTATTCGCTGTAATAATATTATTTGCCAAGTAATAATAAAAACAACGTTTTAAGAAAAACACAAACTTTAAGGACAACCAGTTAACTTCAAGTTGAAAGAACCGAGAGCTAGAAAAAAATTTTTTTTTTCTTTAATTCGATTTGACCTAGAATATAGTATTTTATTATCATTATTAACTTATTGAAAGGACTTTACAATCAAGTTAAATCATCGTTTGAGAGTGTAAAACAGAATTTCCATTATTTTTGTACTAAAAGAAGCAACTTTCTATTTAAAAATGCATTAAAACAATAAATTATCACCCTCAGTACAAAACGTAAAGGTGGTGGTAAAAAAAAAAAAAAGAGCCGTAACACCAGTTTTGTAAAATCCGGTTATAACAAAAACACACGTCATGAATCTGTTTGAAAAAAAGGGGAAGCGTACGGCCTTTCGAAATATCACATTTTTTAAACCAAAGTTGCTTTTCAATTAAATTCACAATACACCTGGTAATTGGTCATATTTATAGATATGCAATTTAAGATACTATATGCAATTAACTATATGCAATTTAAGATACTATATGCAATTAACTATATGCAATTTAAGATACTATATGCAATTTAAGGTATACTATATGCAATTTAAGATACTATATGCAATTTAAGGTATACTATATGCAATTAACTATATGCAATTTAAGGTACTATATGCAATTAACTATATGCAATTTAAGGTATACTATATGCAATTAACTATATGCAATTTAAGATACTATATGCAATTTAAGGTATACTATATGCAATTAACTATATGTATAACTACTATATGTAATTAACAGAAAAATAGGCATCGCCTGACCGTGCAACTAAAAGCTACTGATGGCTTGCGCCATCCTTTCTTGGTATTTAGCCAATTCTGGAATGATTAAAAAATCAACGATTAGTTGATATTTATTCCGATAGATGGCGTAAGCCATCAGCAACTACTATTTTCACGATCAGGTGATTTTTTTTTTTTCTAAATCTCTCCACCTGATCACAGTACGAATTTACTTTTGTACCATTTTTTATATATGTAATTATACAGTAAATGGAAACATTAAGACGCGGATGTTTCCTTTACACATCAATCAAACTTCTACTGTCCTTACTGCGATGAAAAAAATGTATTGGGAGGGTTTAGCTCATCAGAGGTCAACACCCTAAGCAGTTTCGCCAATTTAATCTACCAGACCACTTCTTTAGAGCTCTAATACTGTATTGGATCATTCTGTTTATATATGCTACACTGAAGGGTAGAATCTTAGAAAAGGTATTTAAGCAAACTATGGACATAAGCTTTTAGGACAGTAAAGCAATCGAGTAATGCTCTTCCGCCAACAATAAAGACAAGAAGTTTGATTGATATGTAAAAGAAACTTTCACGTCTTAATGTTTTAATGGGGTCTATATAGATGGGGCGTTATTGCTTTATATGTAATTATCGATTTTCGAAACTATTTTAATGGCGTAAGATTCTTTTTGAAATTAAACAATTTCTACTGCCCTTACTGCAATGGAAAAATTAAAGGGAGTGATGAACCCTCCCAGCGGTTTCGCCAGTTTAATCTACCATACCGCTGTTATATTGCATTTTTGGAACTTCCTTTTATAGTGATACTGTTGGTAGACTCTTGGAATCTTACGCCATTAAAATAGTTTCGAAAATCGATAACAAATGGCGCGCTAGTGCATCATATGTAATTATGTAAATAAATATATAGGATTATGGAATATATTCCCAAATGAGTATATAATAAAAGTTATGAATACTTAATATACATATGGAATAAGTTTGTAGCTATTTCTTCATAGCTTAATGGGAGCTAAGTGACGAATTCAATCTGGCTAATGATATGCTTCTTTTCCATCTAGTTGAAGGGTTTTGTTTGTTTGTTTGTTTGAGGTTTCTATTTGATCCATCCTTAGTGATTGAAGTTATTTGCATATACGTAAGTATATGTCATAATTTGTATATAATTAAATGCAACCCCGACCCACTATGTATGTACCATGTATGATTTTCAAAGATCTAATAAAAGAGTAAGGTAACTGGAGGAAAGAAAGTAACAAAAGACATAGGAAGTAGATCTAGAGGAGAACATATTTATTAATAACGTCGCAGCTAACCTTCTGACCCCGGGAACCCTGCGAGCTAAGTTTAAACCAACACTTCCTGGCAAAACAGGACGTGTCGAGTGACCAGAAGTTATAAAAGTTTGAGAGACATCCAATGCTTCCGGACAGAGACCGGACGTATTTTGATAGCCGCGGAAGTAAATAGAGTCAAACAAACACGAGACTTCCTGACCCAGGCCGGGCGTAACTAATACCAAAGGAAACCGCCGGCCAATTAGGGAGGAACCATTAAGTAGGTCAACCAATAGGAAAAAGGAAACATTCTATCTCTCGACCAATGAGAAAGAAGCCAACTCGTGGTGTTAAATCGAAAGACAAGAATTGTCAGTAGTGATTCAGCTTCCAAGAAGGTGACATCTGCTCTAGACCTCTCTCTCCCTCTGCTCATCCCACAGTTAAGTACAATCATCGCCATGTGATCAACTAATTAATCATCAAAAACCGCTCTGCCTTTCTCAAAAGCTTTCTTCCCTCCAACCCAGTTGCCTTTTATTTTCAAACCCATCACGTGTCCTGATTATTCCTAACTGTATGCTTAAACTTCCACTCAACGACTGCGCTTCAACCAATCCTCACCATTCAAATCGAACAACAAGAAATTCCGCAACGATATTGCCACAGAACGGTTAAATCGACAGGATTCTACAACAGTGTAATACATCAAATATTATAGTGTAATAACAATTGCATCATATTACACAGAGTCGACAGGATAAAGATTATGTAACTTAATCAGGATCAAGATGGAAATTAGCCCAGACACCAGCAAATCAAAAGGCAATGACAAAACCAGCGGAAAAGAAGCGGGCAAGAAGAGAGGCGACCAGGCGCCTTCTAGCGGCCATCATATGGCAGATGACCGTGGCCATCCGACGTGTCAACGCCCCGCAAAGTGAGACGGAATTCCGGAGCGCCATTCCCCGGGGAGGACGACGGACACAACCCCCACCAACCCCAGGCGAGTGTCACCAAGACCGGACACCGACCACCGAGGAGTCATCCACCGCCATGCCGTACACAGTCCCCGAAACCAATCCACGCGATCCGGGTCAGCACAAACGATCCCAAAATGATCTTCCAGTACCGGACTTCACTTCAATTTCGCGGACGGTGCGAGCAGTCCCGAGCCAAGCCAACCATCCCAAACCAAGACGTTCCAGAGGAGACCTGTTGAACTGAGGTAGGCACCCATCCTATGGCGTCAAGAAATTGACTTTGGACTCATAGCTAATCCTACCTACCCCTTTTAACCATATCTAACCTTTGTACTCAATGAATGCACGCACGGGCTAGGCCAAACCTGTCCGAAAGGACTCGCACTACAATCAAATTTATCACACATGGAAACCCTTGCCTGCATTCATTGCTCAAACCTCCAATATTTACATGCCACCATTCTAATCTCACACCACGCAACTTTTCACTCAACCCAATTGCCAATACTTTATGCCCACCACATATAAAGCCACCACGACTTCAACCTACAATTCCAATAATGCCCAAAAAAAGTGTCCGTACACCGACATAGCTCACCCACTTACCACACAAAATTCACACATGACCACACTTCGCCACGCCATAATTACGCAAATGTACCTCACAACATACACGCACCCATACG